TGTTTATGTCTTCCTTTATCTTTTTTTTTCAATGTCCTGTAGATCTCCGAGTACAGGTCTTTTACCTCCTTAGTTAAATTTATTCCCAGGTATCTTAATATTTTTTGTTGCAATTGTAGATGGCATTGTTTTTTTAAGTTTCTCTTTCTGAGAGTTCATTACCGATGTATAAAAAAGCCCAGATTTCTGGGTGTTAATTTTGTATCCTGCTACATTGCCAAATTCATTTATTAAGTCTAGAATGTTTTTAATGGAGTCTATGGGGTTTTCTATGTACAATATCATGCCATCTGTAAGTAATGATAGTTTTACTTCTTCTTTTCCAATTTTGATGCCTTTTATTTCTTCTTCTTGTCTGATCTCTATGGCTAGCACTCACAGTACTATGTCAAACAGAAGTGGTGAAAATGGGCATCCCTGTCTTGTTCCTGTTCTTAGGGGAAATGTTTTTCGTTTTTGCCCATTGAGTATGATGTTGGCTGTAGGTTTGCCATATATGGCCTTATCATGTTGAGATATGCTCCCTCTATTCCCACTTTGTTGAGAGTTTTTATCAAAAATGTTGGATTTTGTTGAATGCTTTTTCTGTGTCTATTGATGTGATCATGTGATTTTTGTCTTTCAATTTGTTTATGTGATGTATCATGTTTATTAATTTGTGAATATTGTACCAGCCTTGTATCCCTGCAATAAATCCCACTTAATCATGATGTATGATCTTTGTAATATATTGCTAGATACGAGATTTGCTAATATTTGTTGAGGAGGATTTTAGCATCTATGTTCATCAGGAATATTGGCTTGTAATTCTCTTTCTTTGTAGTGTCTCTATCTGCTTTTGGAATTAGAATAATGCTGGCTTCATAAAAAGAGTTCCTTCCTCTTGAATTTTCCGAAATACTTTGAGGAGTATAGGTGTTAGTTTTTCTTTGAATGTTTGGAAAAACTCCCCTGTGTAGCTGTCCGGACCTGGGCTTTTGATTGGAGGGAGATTTTTGAATACTGCTTCCATTTCATCAGTTGTTATTGGCCTCTTCAGGTTTTTGATTCTTCCTGATTCAGTTTTGGGAGATTGCATTTTTCTAGGGATTTGTCTATTTCACCCACATTGCCCAGCTGTTGGCATATAGTTTAGTTGTTCATAGTATTTTCTGGAAATCTGTTGTATTTCTGTGGTGTCAGTGGTTACTTCTCCACTCTTGTTTCTGAATTTGTTTATTTGGGTCCTCTCTCTTTTTTTCTTGATGAGTCTGGCTAATGGTTTTTCAATTTTGTTTATCTTTTCAAAAAACCAGCTCTTGGTTTCATTGATTTTTATTTTTTTATTTTTTAGTCTCTATGTTATTTGTTACTGCTCTAGTCTTTATTATTTTCTTCCTTCTACTTACTTTTAAGGACTTTCTTGTTGTTCTCTTTCTAGTTCTTTAAGTTGTAGGGTTAAATAGTTTGTTGCTGATATTTCTTGTTTGTTTGCTTTTTTTTAAAGGTATGCCTGTAGTGCTACGAACTTCCATCTCAGGACTGCTTTTACTGTGTCCCAGAGATTTTGGATTGTTGTGTGTTCATTTTCATTTGTTTCCAGGAAGTTTTTTAGTCCTTTCTTGATCTCCTTGGTAACCCATTCATTGTTTAATATGCTTTTTAGCCTCCATGCGTTTGAATGTTTTGGGGTGTTACTCCTGTAGTTGATTTCTAATTTCATTCCACTGTGATCTGAAAAGATGCCGGATATGATTTCACTGTCCTTGAACTTGTAGAGAATTGTTTTGTGTCCTAACATGTGGTCTATCTTTGTGAATGATTCATGTGCACCTGAGAAGAATGTATAGTCTCCTGCGTTGGGGTAAAATGTTCTATAAATGTCAATTAAATCCCCCTGATCCAATGTGTCCTTTAGAGTTTCTGTTTCGTTATGAAGTTTTTGTCTGGAACAACTTTCCAGTGAAGTGAGAGGTGTGTTAAAGTCCCCTACTATGACTGTATTGTTGTCGATCTCTCGGTTAAAGTTCTCTAGAAGTATTTTTTTTTATATACGTAGGTGCTCCTATATTGGGTGCTTATATGTTTACCAGGGTTATATCCTCTTATTGGATCGATACCTTTACTCTTATGTAGTGACCTTTTTTGTCTCTTGTGACTTTCATTATTATAAAGTCTATTTTGTTGGATATGAGTGTTGCAACTCTAGCATTTTTTTGTTTTCCATTTGCATGGAAAAATGGATTCCATCCCTTCATTCTCATCTTGTGTGTGTCTTTTGTTCTGAGATGGGGCTCTTGTAGACAGCATATAGTTGGGTCATGTTTTTGTATCCATTCAGCTACCTTATGCCTTTTGATTGGAGCATTTGATCCATATCGGTTATTATTGATAGGTACTTATTTATTGCCATTCTAATTCTGTATGGCTAGGTTTCTCTCCCTATTTCTTCTTCTCATAAAAATATGGAACGTTTCATGATTTTGCGTGTCATCCATGTGCAGGTGCCATGCTAATCTTCTCTGTATCGTTCCAATTTTAGTTTATGTGCTGCCGAAGTGAGCACCAGGAGCCTCTTTCTGATGGACTTTGGCTGTCTGCCTTCCAGGGGAATCAGATCCACTTAGAAAAAAAGAAGAAGGTGAGCAGTGGTGGGCCCTCCTTCGGGGCAGCAGAAAGGAGTGACAATCATAGATGCCCTGGCCAGCACACTCCTGGGCTCCATCCCTGCATCTTCCATTTATTGGGAGAGTTTGGTAACAGAAGTGGGAGACCCCTCCACTTGGTGGCTGGGGGTAGGGTGTGGCATCAAGGATACCTTCCTGGAGGAAAGTGAATGCCCGTCTCTGAGCACAGGAAGGGCCTGGATGGAATTAGGGGGAAAGACAGTGCCCATATGTGCAGACTCAGGACAGGTCACCTGACCCACTCCTCACCCCAACTCAGGCAGTGTCTGCATCCTCTCCTTCCCTCTGGCCCCAGGAGCAGAAATTAATGGAGGAGATAGTGTTTCCGCAGGAGGCTGCCCAGAAATATCAAATAGACCCTGAGGAGCAATTCAGGGCCTAGTTCTGGGCCCTGGAGCAGCTCAGCGAGAATGAGAGGTGAGGCCAAGCAGGTGTTGAGCGAGGGCAGGGGTGGACTCTCCGTGCTGGTCAGTGCACAGAACCTGTGTCCATGGCTCCCTGGTCCTCCCCAGACCTTGCTGGGTAGCAACTCCTGGGGCTCCTGACACTGGGAGGGACACCTGAGTTGTGGCTCCTGGGAACTCACAGGTGCAACTCTGTCCTGCAGTTACATATGGTCTTGCCAGTGGAACACTCAGACTTTTATTTTGAGACAAACGGAAGTCATTGAATGATTGACAGCAGAAGTGGAAATGATTTTTAACATGAGCTCATTTTTATGGCCTTTGACCTCATGGAAAACATGTTTGGGTACAAAATCTCTCATTTTGGAAACTCTTAAGTTTTAGCTAAAAGTTTAATGATGTCAGGAAATACAAAATATTCTTTTTAAGGGTAACACAGCAAATACCTTATATTTTCCTGGATATGTGTAATGGCCAGCAATGAAATTCTACATGAAAACCAGAAAAAACTATGAGAACCAAAACAATTTAGGAAGTTGTGACTTTTTTCATGACTTTAATATAAATCTTTTTCTTCAGCTATGTTAGTACGTGATTTAAAAGAGGAGAAAAACATAAAGAAAACAGCATAGCAAGAAGCTTAAAGAATGGACAAGATGACATGGAATGGAGTGGAAATAGAAATAAATATAAATCGTCAGCAGAGAGCCAGGCAATTGAGTGTCCTAAGACTGTGCTGAGAAATGAATAAAGCGGAATACTCGAGAAAACATGTGTGAGGGTGAAGAAGGGAACAAACCTGAGATATTTGTGTGTCTGAATTTTATTGCATTAATGTTCTGTGATACAATTAGTTGAGTGTATCTGCTTCTGACCCAGTGTCTTGCCACAATGCAATTTGATTGTAGGCATGGATTTATTTTTATAAATACAATTTGGTTCAGAAAAAAATTAAAACAACTGCCCACTTTTAGGCAAAACCAACCCCGGTGCTCCTTTCCAGAGGATTATACTGGACACACATATTTATTCCCACCTTCACTACTCAAATACATCCATAATTTATATCTTGAGACCAATTTCTTCACCTTTACAATAAAGCAATTGGACTAGGTACAATTTTTTCTTTTTCAAAAAAAGTAGATTTTTCTTATTGCACAAATATTTCATGGGTATAGGTGGAAAAGAGAAAAGTTTAAAATAAGCGATCATTCACACACTATGTTGGAAATCATTATACATATTTTTATATGTATCCTTTCAGATATGCTCACTGTATATATAAATATATACTTACCTATATTTATAAACCATTTTATGTTATATCACTCTTTGATAACGTATTCTATTAATATAAAAATATTTCTGGAATATTATACCTTCTAGTATCTTTTGTCCTGCTCCATCATAAATCATATCATTTGGCTGTAGTTAATGGATGTGAAATTATTTTGTTTTCTGCTTTATGAGCAATTCTATGATGATCATCATTGTATAGGTACCTCTAAACATTTATTCAATTCGTTTTGAATCAATTCCTGCAAATAAAATTAGTTTCAAAAGTTGCACATATTCTAAATTTTAGTATGTATGAATTTTGAATCACTTGATTGAATTTCCTTGGAGTTTCAATTGGCATCTCATGAGATTTGTAGACTCATTCCCTGGCTCCTTTATCACGTATGTATTAAGTGCCTCCTATGGGCCAGGCACTAGAAACGCAGTGCTCAATCCAAAGAGCTTGTCATGATGGCATGTTTGCATGAAAGAGTCAAGCCAGCCAGCACATGCATAATGCGAAATCAGGATGTGCTGCGTGCTCTGAACTAAAGGTAAAACAGAGAAAAAGACAAATGGTGAGGAGGTAATGTTGTGTGTAGGATGATATGAAGGTTTGTGGGATCAAGGTGGGTTGAGGCTGCTTTGGGAATATGCATAGATAACTAGCAAAATATAAATATCCCAGCTGAGCCCTCATTTTGGGCTCTGGTTCCAAAGTGTTCTCAGTGACTCTGGATCTTTTTTTTTAAGCTTGTATTTACAAGTAAAATAATTGATATTTTTGTGTAATATAAGTTTATTTCTTGAGGAATAAGAATGGTAGTATTTCCATTTTACATATAGTGCTGCTTATTCAGTAGCATTTAAAATTAAATTTTGGATGATGCTCTACGTCACTAATCAAGGGGGAAATAGTACAATTCAGAACCAGAATATATCGCTTCCCACTGCCAAAATGGCTGTTATCAAAAAGACAAGAAGTAACAAGTATTGGTGAGGATGTGGGGAAAAAAAAGGAACCCTTGTGCACTGTTGGTAGGATTGTAAATTGGTGCACCCACTATGGAAAATAGTATGGAAGTCCCTCAAAAAAATTAAAACTAGAACTAGTATATGACCCTGCAATTTCACTTATGATTACTTGAAGAAACCCAAAACACTAATTCAAGAGGATATGTGTACCTCTGTGTTTCTTGCAACATTACGTAGAATAGTACAGATATGGAAGCAACGTAAGTGTCCATCAACAGATAATTCGATAAAGAGGATGTGGTACATATATACTGTAGAGTGTAGAGTATGTTCTATATATCTAAAAGCCCAGTGACCTGAACGGTGAATGACCAGAACAACCAGTGGCTATGACGCATACTGCGGCAGCCAACCAGCTTGATCCCGGCCCTGATCGACCCCTGCCCACCTCTGGCAGGCCCCTAATGGGCTCCCAACACCCCGATCGGGGGCAGGGCTGGTCAGCTAACCACCTGCAGCCCCTCCCTCGGCCGAATCGGCCCGATGGGCCCTTATAGGGACAGGTGGGCTGGACCCTGCTCCGTGCACAAATTCATGCACCAGGCCTTGAATCCAGTCATCAAAAAGAATGAAAGCTTCACATTTGCAACAACATAGATGGTCTTCTAAGGCATGATGCTAAGTGAATTAAGTTGGACAGAGAAAGACAAATACCATGTGATCTGGCTTATATGTGGAATTAAAAAACCAAGTAACCTCATAGACACAGAGGACAGATTAGTGGCTGCCAGGGATGGGGGATGCTAAAAGTGGATAAAGCAAGTGAAAAGCTAAAAAGGGAACACCATATGGTGCATTACTGAGCAACACCAGAAAAGCTTACTATTGGCTAGTGATTGGTGACAACCAGCAAAAAAAACAACAAAACACACCTTTTTTAAAGAAGAAAAACAAGCTCAAATCGGATGTCAGCTACATGTATTGTGAAACTAAACAAAGCCAGACCTCAGGTTCTAAAGGTTATGGGCCAGGTAATGGACAATTTATACCCAGGGTTTTCCCTCTCTCCTAGAGACAGAGACCACCTTGTGAATGTGGATTCTAATTAAGGGACCTTGCCAAGTGGTGACTTTTTAAAGGGAACACCAGAAACTTGGATTAGCTGAACATCATGTGAAGTATTGAGCCAGTGGGTGTGGGTCTGTGATAGTAGTTATATGTCTCCATAGTCTAATAGCTTGAAAGATGTGGTATATATTGTGGGCCTCGTGGCAAACCAGAGAGCCCACAGTTCTTCCATGGATGGTCGTACACCGTCCTTTCATTTCTCTAAGGCAAATTTATTCATCTGTGTAGTGTGGGCAGGACAGTAGGGGAGCAGGTCCCTCAATGGGCCCCAGTCGCCTTTGACAGTTGACAGTGGGATAAAGTTCTGAGCAGGAAGGCCCTTGAATGGTTGAACTTGCTCATTTCTCTGTTTCTCTCTCAGGTACACAAGGCTTCCTGAGCTCAAGTGCTGTGGGTGGGATTGGAGCTCATCCCATCACATGTGTCACTCAGGGGACTTAAGCACCAGCTACCACCTCATCAGTCATGTGCAGGGACTTTCAGGAGCAATTTAACTGGATGGGGTTTTTGCATCACCATGAGCTCTGCAACTACTGTACACAGGGACTCCGCTGTGCTTCCATTTATTTCTTGTGAGGAGTGTTTTAGTCTACAGTATAAAGTGACTTTGTCCATTTAAAAGGACCTGGTATGAGCTTATAAACTGAACTGGTTCATACTGTTTCATCTATGTTTTTATGTCTTAGGTAGCCCGTGAAAAAGGTGAATTAAGCTGTGGTTGTTTCTGAAACATTTTGAAGCCTGTAGAATTCCTAACCCAGCATAGAAAGTTGGCTATAAATTCCTTCCAAGTGGGTAACTTTGTAGAAATTTAGTTTTTAGAATCTAGTATGTATGTTATGTTGGCATTTCAATAACTTGGGGGGAGAGGAATTTGATTTTAATTATTATTGATTTCCTAGTCCTTTAGGGCAGTGGTTCTCATCCTGTGGGTTGCTAACCTGTGGGTCGCGACCCCTTTGGGGGTCGAACGCCCCTTTCACAGGGGTCACCTAAGACCATCGGAAAACACATATATAATTACATATTGTTTTTTTTTATTAATCTCTATGCTTTCATTATGTTCAATTTGTAACGATGAAAATACATCCTGCATATCAGATATTTACATTAAGATTAATAACAGTAGCAAAATTACAGTTATGAAGTAGCAACAAAAATAATTGTATAGTTGGGGGTCACCACCACATGAGGAACTGTACTAAAGGGTCACGGCATTAGGAAGGTTGAGAACCACTGCTTTAGGGAATGTGTGAAAGCAGCATGTACAGTCTCATGCTAGTGAGGGAAATGACATAGAAAAGAGATTTTTTTTTCAGAGAGAAGGAGAGAGAGAAACATCAATGATGAGAAAGGACCATCAATCAACCATTGATCAACCACCTCCTGCATTACCCTCTCTGGGGATCAATCATGTGCCCTGACCGGAATTGAACTATGATCTCCTGGTTCATGGATCAAAGCTCAACCACTGAACCACACCAGCTGGGCTGAAGAGATGTTTGAGAGATGTTTGTACCACTGTCTGTTGAAAATGTTCTTCAGTGATTTGCTATGGATTAGCAATCGTCATGGTGCTGAACCAGTCCAGTTTCCTCCAAATGGAGCGAAAGGTGGGTCTTGGTCCCAGCTCCTCTGTGACTCTGCCTTTCCTCTGTAGGTGGGACGTTGACATAGGTGTGGCAGCCTGTGGGAACCATGCTAGAGCCACCAGATGCTCAAGGCTAATTAGAGTGTGAAAGGCCCTCTCTACAGTACGCCGGATGGCCAAGGCCACTCTGAGAGTAGGAATCTTCATCAGGGTGTCCAAGGATTATATGTGCACAACAAGGTCACTATTTAGAATGAAGCCTCTCAGTAGAATCATACATACTACTGAGTAGCTAGAGGCGAGAGAGAGAGGAGACAGAGGCTAGAGGGAGAGGCTACTGGGACTACTGAGGTTAGGGAGCTCAGGTACTGCTGCTATGTGAGGCACTAGCTCTAGAGGCAGCGTGGGGTTACTAGGTGAGGCTGTAGGTTCAGAGGCTGCTACTGCTTTTTGGGAAAGATGTATTTGTTAACTAGTTGGAGTGTGACTTTCTACCTATATGCAACTGTTGTGAAGAACTGCTTTGCCTGATGGCTCCCAGAATAAAGACTCATTCTTATATACCCACAACTTCTCATGGTTTCCCTGTCTACCACCCAGTGACCAAGGAGGTCCAGCCCCTGGCAGAGAGTCTTGGACCTAACAGTTAGTGTAATAGGGCAAGATCAGGACCTGTACTCCCACACTTGGACCAGCAGGCAGGATGGAGTAGTGAGAGCTTCCAACACTTAGTCCAGCGAGCAGGGTTCAGAATATGTACACTTAGAGCAGTTACACTCTGACACAGCCACTGTATGCAAATTTAAAACTGAACACCGATAGGTACACTGCAGCAAATATTAATAGAAGATTAGTATCTTCAATATCAAAAGAGCCCACAAAAATTACGAAGACAATTTAAAGTCTAAAATGAGCACACACACAGAAATCTAAGTCTAGGATATAAATGGGAAATTCACAGAGAGATACAGTTGGGCTGTCAGGAAGAGGATGAGGAAGATCCCAGATTTGCATAAAATTCAGGGCTCTAGGCCCTGTGTCTGTATCACTGGGTCTCCAAGACCCAGTTTCCCCCAATTTTAGAATGGGGGATTATGATAGTTTCTAACCTCCAAAGGTTTAAAACAGGTGATGACCCCCTGAAGCACCCACCTCCACCTTTGCTGGTACCACAGGTCGGAGGGGACCTGATTTCATGGACGTGGCTTAGTCATTTCTTGCTGTGGAGCCATATCCCCACTGGCCTGGTGACACTACACATTCGTGACTGTCTGACAGCTTCTGCAGTCGGGAGCAGGGCATGGTGTAAGCGATCCCTCTGAATCGGGACTCATGAGACCAAGGATTTGGCTGAGACTGTGGTCTCCCCTGAGTGTCTAGGAGGAAAGGAGATGCTTCCAATCTCAGCCCGGTTGTGGGCAGAATTCGGTTTCCTGCAGGTGTAAGACTGAGGGGTGGATTTCTTGTGGCCGTGGCTGCAGGCGTCCTCAGCTCCGAGAGGCCACAGGGAGCTTCAGGGGCCTCCCCAGCCCAGCCACTTGGTGCTGCACAGCCCACAGAGCAGAGGGCCAGCAACTCCAGCAGAATGGGCGTTGCAGTCTGTGTGAGGGAACCCGTCATTGTGTCAGTGCCACCACAGTGGACATGCGCTCTCCTGCTGTCTTCAGATGAACTCATGGACGGGGTTCGATGGGGTCAGGATAAGCGGGGTGGGTGGCAGGGTCTCTTCCCAGGAGCCACCATTTGGGGTTGAGTGACAGTGTGTGTGTGAGGAGGGTGTGGGCACGAGGTGCCTGTGGACTTAGAAACTTGAGAGAAGTGGCCGCTGAATTGTCATTTGAATGATCTGACTGGGTGTGTCTCTGTCCCACAGCCTGACCATTCCCTGACCCAAGGCCCTGAAGGTCAGCAAGTGGAGCAGGGGCCCAGGACAGGAAGCACTTACTGGGCTTTTCCCCAAAGGCCTCGGCTGGGAGTCCAGCATCACCGTCCATGGAATGACCAGGGAGGAGGCACAGTCTCCTGAGAGCTGGGGCTGCATCTGTGATTCTTGGGGGCAGGAGTCCTGCAGCTGTGGGTGCGGGTTTGCGTTTCCTCCAGCTCCCACTCTAGCACCCAAACTAGCCGTCCCTGACCAGGCCACTCATGGACTTCCACCCTCTGCCCTGTGCACAGGTGCAGGCCCAGGTTCATGCAGCCCAGCCCAGGGCCCTGGGGGGCACCGCAGGGAAGTTCCCGTGCCCTTGGAGGAAATGGGTGAGAAGCTGCTGCCTCAGCTCCAGCCCCCAGGGATGTCGAGGACACGTCCTTCCCGATGGGTGTTGGTGTGACTCAGCTTCAGGGCAGCCCCAGGTCATCAGTTTCAATAAAAGTATTTGAGGTGAAATACACGTCACACAAAACTGACCATCTGAGTCGTTTTTACGTCTACAGTTCACTGGTATGATGTATATTCACACTGCTGTGTAACCATCCCCCCCACCATATTTGTCCTCCTGTGATGGGATCATTTCCCAAGCACAGTGCCCTCAAGATGCATGTGCTTGGTCCCAGCAGGTGTCAGAATCCTCCTCCTTCTGAGGCTAATACTGTGGGAGCAGGTGGTGTTATGGGGGATGGAGAGAGGTGGCGGGGAGGCGGAGGGCTGGCAGCTCCCTGCCCTCAGCCCCTGTGGGCTCCTTCCTTGGAGGCTGAGGTTGTCCCTGCAGGGCTGCAGGTTCCCAGCACCACATACCCATCCAGGTCTGGTGCCAGGAACACACCTCCAGCTGCTCCTGGGTGTGAGGTCCTCGTCCTGGCCCCTCAGACAGCCCTGCCGCTTTCACTCAGGTGGTTTCAATACTGGGCACATGTCTAATTTTATACAAAAGTTGAATTTCTAGCATCCAAAGGAGCCATTCAAATACCTCAGCCCAGGGCCTTCCATGCGGCAGGAGCAGCCAGTGATATGGACCCTGAGAGTGTCCTCCTGGCCTCTGCCTGTTCCACCTGAGCCTCCTGGGCAGTGTCTGCTCCCCTTCTTGGCTTCCAGGCCCAGGGCAGGGGCAGGTTCTGTCCTCAGCTCAGTGCTCCTGCTTTTCCCTGGAGAAGGCTTGGCTGAGCCTGAGGGCCACCTCCACCCCCACCCAGGAGGTTCCATCTTTCTCCAGAAGTCCCAGGACCCTGAGAAGTTTGGGTCTCGAACCATGAGTAAATCCACACAGACAGGAAAGAGGGGACTTGTCCAGGCCTTCCATAGAGGCACTCATTCTACTATTCATCCTGTTATGCAGGGCTTCCTACCATTGTCCAGGTGCTAGTCCCCACCCTTAGGCACTTACAGACACTGGAAGGAGGTGTTTAAGTGGGTTTAGAACATGTAGACAGCCCCCTTGTGATATGCCAAGTGTTCCCTCCATTTTTCAAACATTAACTTTTTAACACTCTCCATAACCTCAGAGAGCATAGGTTGTTTATTATTGCTGAGTGTCCAGTGGGAAAACTGAGGCACAAATACCATTGCTCTCAAACTTTGCACCTTAAAGTACAAATATTAACACCACACAGGTTCTGTGGAGCAGGCCTCTGGGCACCATTGGTTAGGTGCCTCAAGGTGTCTGTGAAGCAGGAGATGTGTTTTCACTGAGGCTCGACTGGGGATAGATTTGCCTCCCAAGGTCACTCGTGTGGTTTTTGTCAGGATGCAGTTTGAACTGAGAGCCTGAGTTCCTGCCTGTTGGCCTGGGCACTTTCTCAGTTCTCTCCTGTGGGGTCTCTACATAGGGAAGCTCAAAACATTGGTGCTTGTTCTCCTTGTTCCACAGATAAGACAGACAGACAGACAGAGACACAGACACAGAGAGAAAGTGAAATCAGGAGGAGAGGAAGGGACATCAAGGATGAGAGTACCAGCCCTAACCGGTTTGACTCAGTGGATAGATCGCCAGCCTGCAGACTGAAGGGTCCCAGGTTCGATTCCAGTCAAGGGCATGTACCTTGGTTGTGGGCACATTCCCAGTAGGAGGTGTGCAGGAGGCAGCTGATCGATGTTTCTCTCTCATTGATGTTTCTAACTCTCTATCCCTCTCCCTTCCTTTCTGTAAAAAATCAATAAAATTTATATATATAAAAAGAATGAAAGTACCAGAGAATGACTCTATGTTGTTCAGAAGCCAGTTACTGAGCACTCAGCGGACACACAAGGATGTTCACACCAGGAGGCTGGACTCACTCAAAGCCACTGTGAAAGCTCCCACCACATGGACCCACATGAGGCACTGGGTCTGATGCTAAGTTTAACAGAGACCACTGTGAGGTTTTAGGCCAGTGAGTGACAACATCTGAATTTCCTGTGATTTCAAACCCTTAAAGGTGCAGACTTGAAAATGAGGCCAAATGAGCAGTGACTTCCCTAAGATGACACGCTGGACTCCAGGCCTGTTTTGTCTAGTGTTCCATGCTGTGTCCCACTCATTCTTGTCACTCGTTCACCTCTACCTTTGTGTATCAGATTCATGGGACACCAATCTACAGGTGTTAGGGGCCCTGTCGCATCTACACCTGCTGACTTCCTGTGGAAATGGTGTCGAGCATCACCCTCATTGGGCAGGTTGGGAGCCTGGGCCGGCCCTTAGAGGCACAGAGGTTTCCACAAGACACAGAACTAGTAAGAAAGAAGAGGTATGAATGCAGCTTTCTCCCCCAAGCAGGGGGCATGGTACATTCCCAGGGAGCTGGGGAGCTGTGTTGGATATTGGTGTACAGGTATGGAGACAACATGGGCATAGAGGGTGAGAGGTCACCAACCAGAGGAGGCTTAGGGTGACTCTGATTGGAGGAAGGCCCAGGTCATGGAACCTTCAAGGGGTGACCTCACTTCCTTTGTGACAGATCCTTAACAGAAATTGGAACCGTGGTAACCAGGTACCCACATTCTAGAGACAACTGCCTTTCCCGCTCACTTGAGTAGAGAGGGTGAAGAGACTAGGATGTTTCTGTGTTGTTTCCCGTCCTTGCGAGGCTCTGGGCAGAAGAGAGCCCAGAGTGAGATATGTGTCTGTGGCCGTAGAAATCCAAATGAGCCCCACCGCCGACTACCATCAACCTCTGGCAGGAAGACCCGTCGGGTTACTGTGGGCATCCCAGGGAAGGAATATCCAAGCCAGGCCATAAAGTGGGTCCGAGCTGGGAAGGCCCACACTTCTTACTCCTCATGCCGGGTATGTGTTTGTTGGGGGTGGTAAGGGACAGCGTGGGATGAGGGACACACATCCTGGGCAGGAGCAGGTTGGTAGGTGTCAGAAGCCTGGAGGCTCTGTCATGTTCATTACCCAGGTCATGGTTCATAGGAAGGGAAGCTGAATGCTGGGGACTGAGCTCCACTATCCACTTGTTAATCAGGGATTCTTACTAGGTCATCTTCTTCCCTCCCTGCCTGGAGGTCTTTGCAGATGCCCCTCTCTGCCTGATCTGGGGAGCAGAATGGGTGGTGGGCATCTCCCCCGCTGGTAATGCCCGGGCCCCTGATGCCTCCTGGCCCGGTAGCGGGCTCTGTCTTTGCAGAGCTCCAGCCATGATGTCGTAGAGGAGCGGGTTAACAGGTTCATTGATGCCAGCAACGGGTACAGAGGACAAGTGGACCAGACCAGGAAATCCATCCATTGCCAAACTGAGGTGAGAACCTGCCCACACCCAGGACCCTGAGATGACTGGGGTGGGACCAGAACTCAGACTCAAATCTGGGGCCTCAAAGTTTTCACAGGCCCACTCTCAAAGGAATCTGTTCCTCCAATCCTCCCGACCAGTTCCCTGGTAGGGTGGAAAAGCAGTCTTCGTGTGTTTGTTGGGATCATAGGAAAACATTTTTGTTATCTTTGCATTTTTCTCATTTCAAATGTTTAACTCCCTGCCCCAAGTATCCTGTGGACCAATCCCAGCTCAACTGTCCTTGTAGACTTTCTCCAAACCTTATACATCATCCCACTTAATAGTGCTGTGTATTTAAAGAAAATGGGAAGGGATTAAAGTATTGGATATATTTCTCTACAACCTCACATCCCATAGAACACGGCCAACCATTGAAATGTGGCCCGGTCAGGAGCTGTGGCCCTACCCATCTCCATATCATCCCATTGAGGACGTTGTTTTCCTCAGTGATTCAGGCTTTCACTGTTGTTAGACCTTGACGTGAATCAGTTCTTGCTACTTCAGCAGGGCTGCTGGAACTTCCTCACTGTGTCCTAATAGACTGTATGATTGTGCTAGGTCAGCCATTACACAGGAACACAGATGTGGTGGAAGGTTCCTGACACTTCCTGGCTCAGTACCCGCTCTATCTTTGCAGAACTCTGAGGAGGACATCACGGAGGTGGTGACCCATGGGCCCGGCTACACCACCAACCAGGTCAGGGTGCAGGTGAAGCAGGCTGACGACACCGTCCAGTATCTGTCTGAGGTGAGAGCTGGCCCAGGGTGGTCTCCACACGCAGGACCCCAAGATGGCCAGGGCCTGCCGAGAATCCAGACTTCAATCTGCAAACTCCCCCAGGGCCCTCCCAGGGCTTTTCCACTAGCGTGTCCACAGTCCCATGACAAAGCAATCTGGACCTCCACTGCCCCCACCAGCTACACGAGAGAATGGAAAGACACTCCTCACATATTTGTGGGAATTTTAAAGAAAAAATATGTTGTTTAACTCACAGTAGGCCAGGAGCACATTTGGATTTTGTTATTTTGTTGTTGCAACTACCCGCCCCAGGTCTCCTGTAGAGCAGTCAGCTCCACTGTCCTCGCAGACCTTCTCTGAGCCTCACTCATCATCACACTTGACTGGTTGGTTTGTCAAAAAGATGGGAGGAAGCAAAGTACTGGATACTTTTCTCTGCAATTTGTCATCTCACAGAGCAGGGCAAACCACCCTAGGCCCACTGGGCCAGGAGCTGTGGACTACTCACCTCCATATCATCCCATAAAAGACGCAGTCTTCCTCAGGGACGCAGCCTTTCAGGGTTGTTGACCGTGACATGCTGCACCTCTGCTGCTAGTTCAGCAGGGCTGCCGGAACATCCTCACTGTGTCCTAACAGACTGTCTCAGTTTGCCAGGGCTGCCATGGGGTAGAGCCGCAGATTGGGGTGGAAGGTTCCTGAAGCCTCCTGGCCCGGTACCGGGCTCTGTCTTTGTAGAGCTCCAACCAGGACATCACTGAAGGGCTGGTCAACGGGTTCAACTACTCGACCTTCCTCGACCCAGGGAAGGTGCATCAGGCCACAGATACCATCCAGGGCTGGACTCAGGTGAGAACTGGCCTTGAGGGTCTCTACACCCACAAACCTGAGTCAACTTGGCAGTGCCCAGAACCAAGACTCAAATCTGGGGACCCTGGATGCTCTCCCATGGCCCCTAGGGTGTGCCTCAGCCCCATGACAGAGGAATCCGGGCCTCCACTCTTCCCTCCAGTTACATGGGAGAGTAGAAAGACGCTCCTCATATATTTGTGGAAATATTAGAGTGAAATAATATTGTTTTATTCATAGTAGACCAGGAGCACTTTTGCCTATCGCTGTTTTTGTTGTTTAAACTACTCTTGCCAGTATCCTGTGGAGCAGTCAGCTCCACTGTCCTTGCAGACCTAGTCCAATAGCGGAGGTCGTTTGGCCAGTGCACATGGACATGGGTCTGATGCAGTTCAGCTACCACATCAGCAGTGCTGCCCGGAACACTGATGTGTGTCGGAATGGACTGTGTTAGGTTGCTTGCTCAGGCTGCCGTAACATAGGACCACACTGGGTGGTGTTAACAGCAGACATTCATTTTCTCACAATTCCGGAGGCTAGAAGTGAGAGGTGGTGCTGTCAGCGGGGCTGGTTTCTCCTGAGGGGGTCGCTCCTCAGCTTGTAATGGCTGTCTTCTCTCTGTGTGTCACATGGACTCCCCTCTGCACTGCCATGTGTCCTCCCCTCCTCTTCTCAGGACACTGGTCAGATTAGATAAAGACCCACACCACTGATTTCACTTCACCTTAATGACTTGCTTAAAGACTAAAACTCAAATGCAGACACATAATGAAGTTCTAGGGGTTGCAAAGTCATGGAATTGGGGGTCACAATTCAGATCACAACATGTACCACCCCCCCTGGAGATGGACGCCCACTGCTGGTGGAAGAATGTGCAAATGTAAAATGTAACAGATACAGGCATATTCCAAACCCAAAGGGCTGTAGCAGGGACGGTGCCAACAGCAGTTTCTGATGATGGCTGCTGCCTTGCTCCCAGCCTGGCTCGGGGTTTTCTCACTCATTGAAATTTTCACCTGTCTGACGTCAGGCTGTCCAAGGCAATCACAGTGTTCCTTCATTGGCAATTGCCTCACAGGGACACTGAGTCACCTGTCACTTTACACTCACCACATGGATTTTCTCCCTCTCGAGTCCTCTGCTCATATTCTTGCCTGTTGATCACATTTCTCCAGTCTGGAGTCTGCAGGCATTTGCTGCTTTGCAGAATCTGGGATCTCCACAATGAGGGTCTTAAAATGCCCTTTAATGTAAAAGGATGAAACAAAAGTGTCTTTTTTGAGGTCAGTGGTTTTCATAGGCCATGTTTACCATGTTCACTGTCCCCACACAGGGATGGACAAGGTTCCCACACCCTTTGCATCCATGTCAGGAGCAGATCAGTCTCAGGTAGCTGAGACAGAATGTCATCCAGGACAGTGCACAATTCTGACGTGCATGACCTTGAGAAGACATGTGACATCACTAAGCCTCTGTGCTCTCATCTCTATAATGGGGGTGTTTCTTGAGGCCTCACGGGGACAATGCTCATCATACAAACTATTAATACAAGGAGGTGTGTTGTTCCTCAGCTAAAACACACAAACAAAAAGTACCCAGAAGGTAACAATTGTATGAACATCCCCCACCCTCCAAACTAAAGTGGAACTCTGAAAACCTAGGTTACAGTGATGGCGAACCTTTTGAGCTCAGCTTGTCAGCATTTTGAAAAACCCTAACTTAACTCTGGTGCCATGTCACATATAGAAATTTTTTGATATTTGCAAACATAGTAAAACAAAGACTTATATTTTTGATATTTATTTTATATATTTAAATGCCATTTAACAAAGAAAAATCAACCAAAAAAATGAGTTCACGTGTCACCTCTGACACGCGTGTCATAGGTTCGCCATCACTGCCCTATGACTACTGTGGACCCAGCACTGCCCCCCCTAAGGCTCCTGGAGAAGTGGGCGATGAGTGTGCACACGGGGGGGTCACATGACCAAGAGCAGCGCCCCGAAAGGAGACACCCTGTGCTTAGCTCTCACTCAGCTTGGTCCGTACCCAGACAGTCGTGGGGCAGGGAGAGGTTTGATGGCTTTGAAGGGAACCGCTCAGGGCTCAGACGAAATGACTGCATACATTTCTTAGGATGAAGATTTTTATTCCCTTTCAAATTCCTTTATTTTGTATTTTTCAGACTTTTCATTAGCTTTTGTTTTTGGAATAAATAATAGATGCACAGCCCAGCCCGGCATGGCCAATGGTTGAATGTTGACCTATGAATCAGGAGGTCACGGTTCGATTCCCGTTTGGGGCATATGCCTGGGTTGCGGGCTAGATCCCCAGTGTGGGGCGTACGGGGGCAGCCAATCAACGATTCTCTCTCATCATTGATGTTTCTCTCTCTCCCTCTCCCTTCCTCTCT